TTGGTTTTTTGACAAGTGGGTTGAGTTTTGAGAAAAATTGTTGGGGGCAATTTTTATGGTGATCGGGAGGTCTTCGTTGTCTTTATTTTCATTTGTCAAATGATCTGGGGTATTTTTGAGATTTTTATACTTTAGGCTAATTAAAATGGTCGTTCTTTTACTTTAGGCTAAATTAACATATTTGTTTGGGGGGTATTTGAGGGCTGAGTTGGGGAAATATTGTTGATCTTTGGTTTATTAGATAAGGGAGGGTTATGATATTATGGTGATATTTATTTTAGTTGTCAAGTTGGAGTGGTTTGCTTATTTTTGACCTGGTGATCGTAAAGTTATAGTTATAGATATGCCTGGAGTTTAATATCGTTCGTCTAGTTGGTTTGTGTTAGAGTTAGAGAAGGTGACGGATTGGATGAATCCTATTGGCTAATTATGAACTAGAATCGCTGCGTGTTTGTCAGCATGTTATTTTGAAAAATGAAAATTCAAAATGTTTCAAAGGTCTAAGATTGTGAAATACAAGATTAAAGTTGTTTTTGAAATTCGACTTTCTTTAATATTTTAGATTGTGGGATGAATAAGTTATAATTTTTACGTGGTTGATTTCTAAGTCGTGAAGACTCTCTATTTTCTGATTTGTCGATTTGTTCTTGGGGTATTATTTGTTCTGTCATTTTTCTATTTTTTCTTTCTTTTTGAGATGTATTTTGATCTAGATTTTTTGTATTGTTTTTTGTGGTGGTTGATTTTGTTATTTGGTTTTTGAGGTGAAAATCTTTTTGTTCCTTTGTTGTATTTTCCGTATGTGGGTTATTTTGAATAACTTTTAAACCTGTAAAAGAATATAATTGAGTTAGTTCGCGGAGTGCGTATTCTTTTGGATAATAAGGTAGTAGGTTATTTCGGTGTTGAACGATTTCTTTTTTGTCTGAGTCGGTGATTTTATATGTGACATCAGTGGGTTTTGCAATTATTTGGTATGGTCCTTTACCAAGGGGTTGTAATTTTTTAGAAATTCTTTTTTGAGTATTAAAATTGGGTATTAATACAAATGTTCCAATTTTTAAATCGGAGGCTGGTGTAAATCGTGAATTTATTTGTTCATTAATGTTTTGCCTTTGTAACAACTTTTTTGTTACTTTTTGGTAAATTTCATTGTGTTTTTTATCTCTGTTTAAAATCCATTCGGTGTATGTACCGGAGGCTAATTTAAGAATTTGTGGGTGATGAAAATGATCTTCATCGTGTGTATGTAAAGGTAGGTTATAACAAATTGAGTCTTTATTTGGTTGACAATAACCTTGTGCGTTTTTATGAGAGTTTGCGGTAAACATTATTGGTGACCATTTCATATGGTGACATTCCTAGAGTTGTCGTGATTTGTGAATTATATGCTAGGGGAAATAATTTTACATCTGCTGACCATTCAGTATATCTTGTATCATTTCCATTGATGATACATCTAAGATATTCTTGTAGTGAACGGTTCATACCTTCGACTAAGCCGTTTGTCCAAGGTGCGTGAGATGTACGTGGTTTGTGTTTGATGTTATATAGATGACATAGCGTGATAATTTCATTATTTATGAATTCTGTACCGTTATCTGTAACTAGAATTTCTGGTAGTCCAAATTTGGCTATCCAGTGTTCATAAAGCGTTGTGTAAGCGTAATAAGCGTTACAATGTGGTACTGGGTTAAGTGCTACATAATGTGTAAATGCGTCAACAATTACCATAATGTAGGAGTTTCCTTCGGATGAGGGTGAAATTGGTCCTTTTGTATCAAAGGAGATACGGTGGTTAAAGTACAAACTTTGTCCTTTAAAATCTTGTTTTTGTCCTATTTGTTTTTGATTTGGGTAAGGTTTATTTAGTTGGCATACTATACAGTCATTGCATAGTACTTTTATCCAAATTGGTGCATTTGGGAAATAAGAGTTTTGTATAAAATTTGAATATGTTTTCTCTGATCCAGAGTGTCCTTTAATATTTTGTGTATGTGAAATATTAAAAGCTATGAGAATCATTCTTAAAGGGAGACAAGGAACTGTAGATTCATTTAATTTGTATTCTAGAAGGTCTGTGTTTTCATTAATTGTTGTACTATTAAATTTTCGAAAATATCGGAGGAGTGTTTTATTTCCTAAAATAGTTGTATCTGCCTTGACGGGTTTAGTTTTATATTTGTGCCATGATTTTAGTTGTCTAATTACTGGGTCAAGATTTTGGTATTGTTTCAATGTTGAAATTGTAATTGTTTCTGTTGGGGGGAGAAAAATGTTTTCTATTTCTGATTTAGATAAGGGTATTGTATCAAGTGGGTTATGGAGGTCAAAAACTTGATTTATTGTGTATTTTGAATCGTTTGTTTGTGGTCCTAATAAATTTATTTTATCAGTTAGGTTTTCTTTTTCAATTAGTGGAAAAAGGTCTTTTTTATGCGAGTGTTGTTTTACTCTTTTTTGTTGGGTGTTATTTTTTATCCATTGTGAGTATGGAATTGGTTTAAAAGTTGATGTTCCAAGTAGATCAACTTCGTAGTCGTTATTTTGACAATCTAAATAAAGTGGGAAGTGTTGTAGATTATTTATCTGTGATTGTTCAACGTCAGTTTTTACTGCATTTTTGCATTCTAGTCGGGGTGATGTTTCGTTTTTTGCAAGATAGAATTTTATATTTTTAGGTATTTCAACTGTAGTTTTACGTGTAAGTAATTCAGGTGGTGTATTTCGACTTAATGTGTCTGGTAATGCAAGATTTTTTCCTGCTGTCCAAACTATATGTAAAATTGGAAATTTCATTAGAATTAATTGAAATCTGTAAACTCGGTGATTTGGGTTGGATTTTTGTGTGAAGAGAAAAATGATTGGTTTGTGATCTGTTAATAGAACTGTTGGATGTTTTGATCCAAGTATCAGAAATTCATATTCTGTAAGTGTATAGATTATGGCTGTACATTCTCTCATTAGGGTTGAGAGTCTTAGCTCTGCTTGAGTGAATAATCGAGAATTTGCTGATATAAGGTTCATTTTGTTTGTACCATTATGTGATTGTAACAACGCTGCGCCGATGCCAAAGTTCGAAGCATCGCACATTGCGTAGAATGGTTGATTTGGATCTGGAATTGTATTCGAAATTTGTTCAGTTAGAAGTTTTTTAATTTCTTCAAATCGTGCTTGATGTTCTGTATTCCATTCAAAATTGTTTTGCTGTCTAAGTATATTATAGAATGGTCTTAGATATAATTGCATTTTATAAACATATTTGCTTAAAAAGTTTAGCATTCCAAGGAATTCTTGGATTTTCTTTTTATTTGTCGGTGGTTGGAGTTTCTGAAAAGCGTCAATGCGTGATTTTAATGGGGTGATTGTTCTTCTTTCTATATTATGTCCTAAGAATTTTACTCGTGTTAAAAAGAAGTGTGATTTATCGGGGGCGGCCTTCAGATTTTTGTTCTGAAGTATTTGGTGATATTGTTCTAAAACATTGAACATTTCTTCTTTAGTCTGTGATTGCATAAAAACATCGTCTAAATAGGTGATTGCGTTTTTTTTGAGTATTAGTGGTCGAAAAATTTTGCTCATAAAAGCTGAAAATGCTGATGGTCCTATGGATATTCCATAGAATAAGCGGTTGAATTCATACTGTTGGTTTCCAATAACAAATTGTGTTAAACGTCGCGATTGTTCATCTAATGGCATTTGATTGTATGCACTATTCATATCTGCGGTTGTAAAGTATTTTCCGTTTATTTTTGTTAAAATAACTTGTATTGGTTCAATAGGCCAATTACACTTTGATTCATCTATGAGTGAGTTGAGGTATCTAGCGTCGAGAACGATTTTTAATGATTCTCCTTTGGCTAGAATTATAACAGGGTTGATAAATGTGTTACCTTTTGGTTGTTCTTCTTTATTTACTGGTGATATAATGTTGTATTGTTCTAAAATGTCGAGTAATCTGTTCACTTTATCGTGTAAGTGAATTGGTACTTTACTTGCTCTTTGTTTTTTGAAAACTGCATCTGGTTTTAATGGGAGATGTAGTGATGAGCTGATTTTGCCAACATCAAATTTGGATGTTGCATAGACTGATGAATATTTGATTACAGAAAAGTGGTTTTAATTGAAATAAGACTTACTCCTCTGTGTGCATGCGTCCTCCCTTATAGTTTTTTTTTACTTAACCCTTTTGTCTACAGCCTTCGAAAAAGTGTGACTGATTATACTACCCACATTTTTGATTTTTTTTTTGTTTTCTCAAAAATTACCCACTCAAATATGAGTTTCAGGTTTCAATGAATCGAATTGTTTTGAAAAAACCTCTGCATAAGTGGCTGCGACCAAATATCAATTTTTTTTGCACATAAAGTTATGGCCTTCGGAATAGTCAAACTTTGATTTTTGACCGTTTTGTGAATGCTTTCGCCTGTTCTCAAAAACTAAACTCTCAAATCGGATTATTTGGGTTCAACGAAATAATGTGAAGTGGGAAGTTTTTCTGCATAAGCGGACACTAACAAAAAAATTGACTCAAGAAGTTATCGCCCTCTGAAATTTCAAAATTTTGGTTCTTTGACCGTTTTTTTTCATCTTTTTGAATATTCTCGAAAACTACCCCGCCATATCCGAGATTTTGGGTTCAATTCTCAGAAAGGGTTTCCGGAAGCTCATTCGAATACGCCCATTGTTTATCTAAATGTGTTGGCCCTCGGAAAAGTAAAAATTTTGATTTTGTGACCGTTTTTTTGATAGTTTTTGTCTTTTCTCGAAAACTACCCTCCCGAAACTGAGATTTCTGGTTGAATCAAAATTACAGGTTGCGTGAATTCCTTCTGCATACCGTTACTGCATAGTTTCTTCACACAAAAAATTCCGATTCTAAGAATGGTCAAATTTTTGATTTTTGACCGTTTTCTGGATTTTTTCCGCTAACTATCCTGCCAAATCTGATTTTATGGGTTGAATAAAATGAACAGGTTGTTAAAAGCCGGTATTTCTAATTAGCTATGTCCACTTTGCTGAAAAAAATAGTTATGGCCTTCAAACAAGTCAAAGTTTTGAAAATTTGACAGTTTATTGGAAGCTTTTTGACTTTACGCGAAAGTCACTGGTCAAATTTTCAGGTTGTGCACAATCTAAAAACCCGGCTTTGGAAATCTTGTCTGCTTTAGCGGCCGTAACCTGCTGTTTTCAGAAAATTGCTATGGATTTTAAAAAGTCTTTTGAACGTTTCTTAGGACTTTCGACCGTTTTTTGGAAACTTTTTGAGTTTTCATATAATTAACGCTATCAAATCTGAGATGAAAATTCCGTTAAAAGAAGGGGTCGCGATAATTGTTTCCGCAGAAGCGGCGATTCTTTAGTTCTTTTTGAGAGAAATTTATCTCTTTGGGAAAATTGGTTAGTTGAAAATTTCTTACTTTTTTTTAGTAGAGAAACAACTAAGGTTTTAGGCAAAGTCCAATTTTTGAAATCACACTTTTTCCTTCACAATTTCGTTCACAATTTTTGATGAAATCACACTTTTCGATATTACACTAAACGCCACACGAGCCTTCTTTCAGGTGTATTCCCATTTTTCACGAGATTTGTCTGAAGAACCAGATGAGTAATATTCAAGGAAACAAGATATTTGAAAGGCTGCTTGTGCTTTTTTTGCACGAATAATGAAATGTGTTTAAATTCACCAGCGGATTTAAACAATCTCAGGGATTCGACCCCCTGCCGACCCAAAGGGTCCCCATTCGTACTATTTTGAGATACCCATTTTCGGCTGACTGACCCTAAATTTTTTCTAAGGGCGCTTTTGGCGCCAATCTATACTAATTTTGAGGGGGGAGCGCGCGCCGAAAAAACACAATTTTTTGGTCGAATTTTTCCAAAAAGTGCCTAAATACGCCTTTTTCTGGCCTGTTCTTTTTCAAGGTTTGCCTACAGGGCAGAACATTTGGTCAAAATGGAATTTGGGAGAGCTCTCGAAAATCCCCCCTCGAGAAAACCCTAGATGCACCCCTGTTTAAATCTGAAAAAGTCGAATTACTTTGCAAAAAAAGCAAAGCATAATTTTGGTTGGTTTCTGTGATCTTTTATTGGGTTCTGTTGAGCTTCTGACCTCTTTGGGCGATATGCTGCCGTTGCTGTCCAGGTCGAGTTTGGCGAAAGAGTCGAGACCCCATCCGAACTTGTTCACGGGTAGGTGAGAGAGAACAGAGCAGTATTCGGAGTAAGTCACAGGGTACCTAATAAGTGAGAGTTGAGTTGATCAAAGTGATTTGATTGGTTGAAGTCCAATAGAGTTGAAGGTTTTTTGTCTCGGAAACTAGTATTATCATTGACAATTTAGAAACTACCAATGCTACCAATTTGTACAATTGATTCTGCAATTTTTTGTATATGTATAGAAGCAGGTGAAATTTTTAGTTGAAATAGTTTTAAGTTGAAATCTTTCAGACTCTAAAAAGACGAAAAAAAATGTCTAAAATAATTTCCACAAAAATAAAGACACGGATTCTGGCTCTATATTATACTACTATCTTGTAGATTTCATTCTAAATGTTAAATTTGTATAAAAAGGTCAAGTTTCTAATTGAAAAAATTTTAGGTTGAAGTCTTTTTTGCTAAGAAAATGTATATCATGAATAACGTGGACTTGCTTTGAAATGTGAAAAAAACTGGGTAGAGGCTTTTGAAGAATCTTCAAACTGCTGCCTGTAAAGCAAATTCATTATTTGAGGAATCTCTAACTAACTGAAACAATCTATCCAGAAGTCTATTGAACTGCTCCTGGTCTGCTGGAATGACCCCGGCAACATTTCTTTTCACAAATAGCAGCTCCTCCACGAAGTCCTGGAAGAGAGGGTTCTCCTTCTTAGCATAATCCTCTTTGAAGTGATCCAGGATCTCTTTGTTGGCCTTGTAAGCTTGGCGCAACTCATCCGCTATCTGATCCATGGTCACACCTGTCATCAACAAAGGAGAAATCATTTCACGCAGGAATCTTAGCTAATCAAAAAAAGAACTATTTATGGGATTTTCTGTAACCGCGCTCTTCTATGAAGAGCTGAACAGTTTGTAGTTCAGTCCTTTTGAGTTTAGGTCCGGGTCGGCTCACTCATTGAGTAATTTCAGATAAGGTACACCGTCTGCTCGTCACGCTATCTTATTTTCGCCCGATAGATTCGTGCAACTTTTTGGTCTAATAAAGATCCTAATCTTACTCTTATATTTCCTAGTCTCAATAGATCTAGTCTATACTGGTAATCTTGTGAGGTTAGAAGCGAGGAAGAGCAACTGTTAAGTTAAATTTATTCTTCTCTGGCTGAAACTATTGTATAGATCAAAAAACACTATGGTCGGGAGTGGCCGCAAAAAATAATATATGGTTTCAATAAACAAAAAAGACTTTTTAAAATTTTTATAGAATGCATAGTTCAATCCCCCCAAGGAAAGTTAAACTCAAATACAGTGATTTTAAAAAGTCTTCTCTTTTCGTGAACACCATTTACCATTGAAACTGCCACTGCGGACCATTGAAACTGAAATAAAATTCCCGAGCAGCTAGAAGGCCCAGTAAAAGGCCCAAGAAAGAGACCAAGGTATCCCAGAGTAAAAGTAATTGACCAAGAACTCTAATCGACTTGGGAGGAATAATCGACTCGCCAGGAATAAAAAATAATAATCATAATAATATGTGGGGGCCACTGATTATTATGATTATCGGCCTGACTTATTATATTTATTTTCGGCCTAAATTCCATCGGCTAAATGGCCGCTACCCTGGACAGACGTTGACTCAACCTAGTTAACAATAACGGCAAGACGTTTATTATCATGTTTCTGCATTTAAAAGCGTTTTTTTAAGGTTGTACTATTTTAAGTTTTTATTTTCGAAAAATTGTTTTAATAAATCGAATTTAAAAAAAAAGAAAAACAATGATACCAACTAAAATTTCATAGCCAACATCAATTCAAAACAAAATGAAACGATGACGTTTGTTGAAAAATAATGCATTATATTTATTTAAAATGGATTATAATCCATTAAAATGGATAAAATTCAATAAAATTTAAGATTTTTTTTCTTTAAATAATTGATTATAATCGATTGTAATCAATTATAATGTTTTTTTTTGTTTCTAAAGATAGTAGCATTCTAATCCATTTTTAATCAATCAGAATCAATTCTTCTTGAAATTTATGAAGACTGACAATAAAAATCCTTATAATCTATTAATTTCTCTTTTTACTTAGTGCGGGTAGTCTTTCTTTCATATCTCTAGTCTCAGCAGATCTAGTGTATATTGGTATATGCGCGGCTAGATATCAAGAACTGTTCTGGAGAAGAACAACTGTTTGCTAAGTTAAGTTGATTCTGTTCTGGCTGAAACTATAAATAGTTTCAGCCGTACAAATTTTTGTAAGTGTTAGTTATGGATCATGATTAATTAGTTCTAAGTATTTTACACAGACAGTTCATCAAGAATATAATAGGATAAAATAAATACTTGTTTTGATCTGGTTCCACGTTTCTTTCAGAAGTCCAACCCCTTTGTCGCCTGTGAAATTATTAACCTAAGTTTCTTTCAGCCGAAAATCAAAAATCAAAGCAGGGGTGGATTTGGGGGTTGGGGAGGACGGACGCCTCCTTTCAGGAATTCGACCCTCTCACCAATCAAAATATTTTTCCACATCAGTTTTCGGCATACCGACTCTGAAGTTTTTCTAGAGTTGACTTCGGTGCTATTTTATACTATTTTTGAATGGGACTGAACGCAATTGTTTGGTGAAAACCTTCCACCAAGTTGCCATAAACTTCATTTTTGCCTGTTTTTTTTCTTCAAAATATTGCCTACGTCGCTTAAAAGATGTCCAAAGAAGTTTTTATGGACTGTTCTGGAGTGCCCGGAAAATTTGGTCGGCCTAAAAAAGGACTCCTCCTCCCCCCCCCCCCCCCCCCCCTCTCGAGAAAATCCTAGATCTGCCCCTGAATCAAAGCATTATAATACCTTTGCCGCCTCTAACAGCTATATTTGAGGAGGAAAATTACAACGAAAACAAAATAATGGCCTTAAAATCTTCAAAAAAGGCACACATTGAGTTATAACCGAAGTGTATAACTCATAGAGTAATTTCGGATAGGGTACACCGTCTGCTCGTCACGCTATCTTATTTTCGGCCGGATAGATTCGTGCAACTTCTTAGTCTAATACCGATCCTAATCTTACTCTTATACTATCTAGTCTCAGGTTGTTTAACTAGTCTCTGCTAGGCTCAATAGATCTAGGGTATACTGGTTTATTGCGGCTGCTGAAGTCTTCTTGGAGAGTCAACTAATTTCTAAGTTAAATTCAAATCTCTCTGGTGCTGAAATTACAAGTAATTTCAGCACTAACAAATAAGTGGGTTGTTAGTTAGATGGATCATGATTGGTTAATATTAAATACTTTACAGTGGTAAAATATCTAATTTATCCAATCATAAAATGTAGTTTAGATCAGGTTCCACCCATCCGGGTTTTACAGAGTTTTTTAGAATAGTCTTTCTGCAATTCAAAGGATGGATGATGGACGTTGGTATTTGGCGAACATCTTATTTCTTCTGGGTTTTCTTATTAGAGAAGTCCCAGATTCAATCGTTGTGTCTTCTCAAGACAATGACTGGGTTTTCGCAACAAACTCAAATCTGATTTCAGAATGGTTGGCTATGACAGGTTTTTCCGTTTCATGTAGAGAACTTCTTTTGTGTTTGACCTTGTCTGGGAATGGCGTGGAGATTGTGTGTGGAGGGGATGCCTGGTTACTCGGATCTGTACGTATACTTGAACATCGAGGTGGTCATTGTTCTAGTTCAATGAAGTCCTTTTCTGCGAAGTCAAGTCGTACTCTAAATCCTTTGAGTTGTGATTGTGGGCGGCATATTGATTGTGGTTGGCCATTCTTTTTCGAGTGTAGTGGGGTCATTTTGTCTTTGGATGTTCGTCTTTGGTGTTGTATGCTGATCTATATACTGCAAGATATAATTTACATTTTATAAAATTTTTATTAGTTTAATGTTTTAGTTATGATTTTGGTTAGTTGTTTTCACAAAAGCTTTTTGTTTTAGTTCAGTTATTTTGAAGAGTTACTCACCCTTGAGTAGCTCTTATTAAAAATAGGAGTGTGGTCACAAAGCGTGGATGTAGCACGGTGGGTTAGGCCGGCTATAGAGCATGCTCAGGACGTCCTCTTCTGGTGGGTTAGGCCAGGAGTGGGAGTATGATTGCATGCGGTTTTTGTGAGAGGTCCTGTTATGTGACAACGTTTTGTGTTGGGTTTGTTGTGGTTTTTCTTATGTTTTGTTGGTTGTGTCCTTTTTTCAAAAATCAAATTGTTTTTGGTATGGGTTTGTTTTTCGACTTTTTTGTGTTTTATTATTTCTTTCTTAGACTTTATAATAGTCTTCAAAACAATAAATTATCCAGTTTTAAACTGGGTTAATCCGGTTTGGGTACCGTTGGTTTCCTTTTCTTAGTCATGCTGTTATTCTATGATTTGTGGTGTTTAGTAAGCTGCGTTGGTTAGTGTTGTTTAGTATATAATTCCTTTCCAACCGGGTTAAAGGAAAGTTTGAAACTTGTTATCATGTGTTAGAGTTGTTGAGTGTGAAAGCTTGAAACTGAAATTCATTATTTTAAACAATTCTTCGTGGGCGAGCTGTGCGAGTGTGGATAGAATCTTTGTGCGAATGAAAGGAAATATCAAAAGGTTAGTACTGCATTTTCGTTTTATCAATTTATTACATAGAAATGCAAATTTACTGCTAGTTGTTGGGGAAAATTAAGTTACAAATTTTCATCATTATTAGATTTTACTGCATTTGGAAAAAAAATTTTTAATTAAATTACTGCATTGGTATTATTTTTAGTGATTTGTTTGGTGCAAAAAATTAATAGAGTTTTAAATAGTTTGAAGAAGTTTTCAATTTTTATTTTCTTTTGTGAATTTTTCAGATGATCGTTGGATGAAGGCTAAAATTCTAAAGAAGACATGAATTATGAATGGTTAGTTTCTAATTTTAATTTAATTAGTTAATAATATGTATAATTCATGTTTACCTGTTAGTTGTCGGGGAAGAAACCGTGGGGGAAGATGTCGTGGATGAGATCTGAAGTTGTTAGTAATTTAGCTAAGATGCGGATGATATTTTTAGTTTGAAGCAGTGGCCAAAGCAATTGAAGTGCTTTAATGGTGGTTAGTTCTTCAGTGCCAACTGCAAACTCATAAGGTGTGTTTTGGATTAGATTATATAATTTGTGATTGAATTTAGTGTTGTGGATGAATTATAAAATGGGGATTTCTATGGGTTGAACAAATTCGTGTGGGAGAAGGAAGGGTCGGGATTCTTCTGCGTTGAAGGTCTTGGTGATGGGACAAAAAATAGACATTTGGGTTATGGGATCATAATTTCGAAGAATACCATGAAGGTTAGTATCTTTAATGCAATATGTGAAGTTAAGAAAGAATGGTGAGGTGTATTTGGAATTGATGAATTGAAAACGGTGGTGTGGTTGTCTGGAGGGAGTGTGTAGGTCGAAGTGATTTTGGATAAAACGATAATATGTATATGTGTGAGTTTGTTTAGTGCGCAAAATAATATCGTGTGAGCAGTGCAGATCTCTTTCATGTGGTGCAAGGAAATGAAAGGTTAGTGAAAATATTTGGAAGCGTTCTTTAAAACTTTCGTAGGCTTGCGTGTCTGTTAGTGCTTCTGAGATGATGTGGTCAAATTTGCGATCAAATATATTGAGTGTAAATACATATGGTGTTTTAATGAAAAATTTTTCTGTGATTTGTGGGTTAGCGAAGCGGTCGTCGTCTAAGAATTGATCTTGGTTAGTTCTGATGATGTTATGATCGTAATATTCTAGCGTATATTCGTTAGCTCGGGGTGCAGTGTATGTTTTTAATGATTTTTTATATCC